CTAAACCTTAAAGACCCTACAAACCTCAAACCCTAAAAACCCTAAACCCTGAACACCCTAAAACCTTAAACCGCCAGAAACTCTTAAGTCGAAAACCTTAAAAGCCCTAAACACTACAAACCCTAAACCCTAGAAAGCCCTGACAACCCTAAACCCCAAAAGCTTGAAACCCCTACAAACCCTAAACCCTACAACCCTGACACCCTAAACCCTAAAACTCTGAACCCCAAAAACCCTAAACCCTCAAAACCTTAAACCCTCAAAACCCTAAACCCTAAACATCCTACAAACCCTAAACCCTAAACAGCCTAAGCCGTAAGGACCCTAAACACCTTAAACGCCCTAAAAAGCCTAAACCCAAAATACTTCAAAAGCCACAAAACCCTAAACCCCAAAAACCCTAAACCCTAAAAGCCCAAAAGCCCTAAACCCCAAAAAAACACTAAACCCTAAATCCTCTAAACCCCAAGAACCCTAAACCTAAACACCATAAACCCCAACAAGCTTCAAACCTTAACCCTACAGGGTGCAATTTGCAGTATTCGTAACCTTTCAAGAGCCGCAAATGCTGTAGTTTGCAGTATTGGCAGTCTTTCAAGAGTTCTAAATGCTGCTATTTGCAGTGTTCGTAATTTTTTCAGAGCCGCAAATGTTGTAATTTGCAGTATTGGCAGGATTCCAAGAGCTCCAAATGCTGCAATTTGCAGTTTGCGTAGCCTTTCAAGAGCCATTACTGTTGTAAATTGCAGTATTGGCAGCTTTTCAAGAGCTCCAAATGCTGCCATCTGCAGTGTTCCTGGGACAAAGGAAGCACCAAGAACAAAAAACATACCTTGAAAAAAACAATAAAAATACCTAAATCAATTTTTGATCCTTTAGAAAGTGTCACGGCAACAGGAGGACGTGAGGGATGTAGTTTAGTATCATGGAAGCAATTACAGTTGGGGAGAGAGTTAAGACCATTCCTGCAAGTCTTAGACGTACACAGAATTCCACCTTTCGTGCGCGCTGTTCTCAAGTAAGTATTTGAGAGCCTGGGTGTCCAAAGATTCCGCCGAGTCTGCAGCTAAATTACTGTCAGCTGCTTGGCTGCGCGGGATGCCAAAGCCCGTGCAATCGTGGGCATACCAGTACCCAAGAAGCCTTGCTCCCAATCTGCGGGTGGCAGGCCGCTACGCACTAACAGCGCAACTTGTCAGCTGTGCTCCTCGTAGTCTTGACTTCAACGCAGGTTCTGGGCAACCGAGAGTGCGCGTTGTGGACAACAGCTGCAGAGTTAATCTGAGGCATTAGCCGATATAGATTGATGAAGCAGTTTTGGCTTATGCTTTGGGCGGAGGGGCGCGTCACGTTCTCCCTGTATCCAAGGCTGGTCGTCGCAGCAGTGCCCAGCCCCAAACTAGAGTCGACAGAATGTTATCACAGGTGGTTGCCACAGAAGCCTGGACTCACAAGGTCCTTTGTCGGATTCGACATTCGACGGAGTCCGCTAGTGCTCGTCGTCAGCTCTGTTCTTGTGCTGTCTCTTGCCAAAGATGGAAGTGGCTTTTGAACGAGGCATAGTTGTTTGAGCCAGACACGTCATTGGAAGCCACCAGCAGCTTTTACAAATGAGGCATACCTTGAGATGTGAAGAATTCTCAAGCAGTTCTTACAAGAGCTGAAACCAACCAGTTGCCTTTAAGCCAGCCTTCGGTGTTGCAGTGACATTAAAGTGCAAGCATGGCACCGTATCTGGCATAGCCAAAATTAAAATGCCAGCAGACGAAAAAGATGTGAGGTGGTGACCAGGCTTTACAGGGCTTGCAAATCAGCAGGAGGGAGCCTGCTGTTGATTTTTCGCGCTGGCTGGAAAGCCAGGCAGATCAATTCGCATATGGAAAGCAGATGTGGCATGTATGGCCTAAATATGGCCACAATTATTTTGCCGTGGAGGTCCTGACACAGCTCGCTGCATGCATCCACTTCACTGTGACCGTGATGTTCTACTATGAACAGTGTAGAGGGGGCCCATTGGATGCTGGTGTAGTTGTAGCCTGTCCCCGATCCTGGTTATCACACCCAAGCTTGAGCAACTTGATGCCATGCCGAGAATGATGGAGATCCTTCTTCTGGTGTTGAAGAACACGCTGCAATTGAAAGGTTAGCGGCACTTGGTTTCCATGGCGCTGTTGTGCTCAGCCAGGCCAGTCCGTTTTGATGCTCAATGCTGCTCCAACGTAATTGTGTGCCATTTGTCAGTTAGAAATATTTGTGCACGTGCTTCTGGCCACTGCAATTCCGGCGGCTGTTTGCCTGCAACCAAGAATTCAGTGTCTTGCGAAGAATTGTGCATAAGTCGATGTAGTTGGTTCTTGAGGCGTGAACTTCATAGTTGAAGACGCTGTAGGCTGCGAACGCACTGGATGTGCTGATAGACTCTGATCTTGCGGACATGCTTCTTGGAAAGGCGTCTTCGCTGATGGACATAGTCACACACCAGTTTGGGCGCTTGTGTCCCAGACAAACACCGCCGAACACGGTCCCCATTAGTCCTGAAGCACAGCATCAGCAGAATCCACTGGAATCTCCAGCGGTCAAGGCTACTGCTCCTGTTATTGCTTCCTTATGTCGTGTTCCTTTGCCTCTGCCCCAGAAAGCGTTTGGGCTCGGCGAGCCTTGAAAAGCCGATGCTTAAGGCCTTGCTCTTGCGAGCTTCCTGCTGGGAGTGGCCCTGATCGAATTCAAGGAGAAGCTGGCTGAGGCGAAATGGATGACTGGCCTCTATCCCATCCCATCCACCTTGGAAGCGGGTGAGCATTTCTGCACAGCCCTGCTGAGATGTCTTTGCATTGACGCACAAGCTGACGCATAGGTTTGTGAATGATTCCAGTGAAGTACTCCTGTAGGTTGCATGTTTGGATGGTAGGAAAGCTCGAGTGGCAGCGACAGCATCAGCAGTGATGAGCTGGAAACCATGGCTGACCAAGCAGCTGGACAGGCCAGGCGCGGGGTTGACTTGGAGCACAAGTTGCGGAACCGGTCATGGGGAACATGGTCAAAGACATCTTTGCAATTTCCTGCAATTTCTGAGCTATCTTTTGCTTGGCCTTATGGGCACCAAGTTGTGTTTGGCTGTTTGGCCTGTTTAAAGGAAAGACCATCTCTGGCGACGACAGTCTCAACAGAAGACCTACCGGGTACTGGTACCATACCTGTCAAGTGTGTGGAGCCTAGGATCTTTGGAAGCCAGCATCAAATCCTGTGCCAAGAGAAAAGCTGTCTCTGAAGACTTTCCGTATCCTGACATCCAGGCATATGCAGCAAACAGCAGGATTTGATCTATACTGAGCCGAAGCCCTAGGCCCTATATGCCCCTCGCCTACCATCAACATCAGTCCACGCTTGAGTCAACGGCAAAGCACACGTCGAGCAACAAACTCAGAGCGGAGCAAGGCCGAGTCAAAGGCCCAAAAAACAGCAAAGCAAAGCGAAGTCGGTGGCGTTAGTAATTTTGGAAAATCGTGAAGATCTCGGAGACTGGTGCGCATGTCTCCCGTGCAGGACATGTGTTGCGTCTGCATGGCAGAGAGAAAGGATGCTGCTCTCGTTCCATGTGGCCACAAGGCGAGGGAACCCATGCTGCAGATGACTGTCACAAGTGTTTTGGATTACCGAAGGGCGTTTTGAACGTAGGGCTTGAAGCATGACAGAAGTGCATCTCTTGCTTTTGGCATGCATCAGCCTCCTATGTGATTGACTTGACTAGTGACTCAGTGCTTTGTTCCAGAGATGCCTCCCCTGCCACCCTCCTTACACTGCTTGGTCTAGGGTTGTAAGGGGACCGACACGAAGATTTTCAACCAGCACTTTGAAGATTTTCAAACAGCACTTTGGGTTGGAAAACGATAGGCCACTCAGCACCAACGATAGGTCGAAATTCTATGCAAACATTCTGGTACTAAAGTTGTACTACCAGAGAAGGGAATTCCGTCCGGTCGCCGGAGACGGCCGTTCCAGTACTGGAGTTGCACTACCAGAGAACGAAAATCCAGCCGATTGCCGGAGACGTCCGTTCCAGTTCTAAAGCTGTACTACCAGAAAACGAAAAACCATCCAATCGCCAGAGACGGCCTTCGCAGTACTAAAGTTGTACTACCAAAGAGAGAAAAGTGGGCCACCACCAAAGCTTGGAAAACGATAGGCCACTTACCAAAATCCAATGCAATGATACCGTCAGCTAGCTTGGGGACT